AGCGTTTCACAGTGTCCATACAATTACATTTAATAAGATTTGCAGTTTAGTACAGAAAAGGGAAAAATCATGAAGGTGGGAAAGCTAGTAAGCATTAGCAGCACTGCGTTTATTTTATCCCACACAAAAAAAACTTTAATCACAGTTTTACTGCAAAGTTAGACAAGCAGAGGTCCAAGTTAACAATCTCAATTCCAGACGTGAAATATGAAATTAGAAGTTAAACTGCAATAGGAAAAAGTAGTTTTTTTAAACACTTTTTCTTTTTTAAATAAAACGACACATGGAGCTAAACGTGTGGTAGAAGAGAAAAATAAGCCAAAATGACCTGATATTACAGAGATTTTTGTGAAACTCACTAAATACAGTTCGTCTTATGACTACAGCACAGCTTATAATGGGTTTCAATGATTGCAATATAGAAAAATCTTAAGACATGGATGCTTTGAATGAAAACGAGGAAATACCGTCTCTACACTGGACGCGACCGTTGCTAATCCATTATTGTCAGAAGTATCGCGAGCGCCTGAAGTACGTCAGAAACAACGTGGGATTTGTCGAGTCGCTCCGCATCCAGTCAGTGTAGAAAGCATCACTATTATAATGGGTTCTGTCTGCTTTTGTCGCGTCTGGTGTAGACACGGTGAGTCTTAAGTTAGTTTAAAGTGACAAGTCAACTACTCTACTACTCTCTGCTCATAAATAAAATGAATTCTGGGAAACATGTCAATTAAACGCACACATGCTGTGTTCTGACAGTGAATGTGGTGGAGCTACAGAGCTTCATATCAGAGCTCATTATTTCATCTGGTTTTGACTGGGTTTCACCACAACCACCTCACATTTGCTCCATTCTGCCATTGTTTTTTATTGCCCATTCATTGTTACATTTCAATCACATATATTACCATCCATGATTGTGTACATTTTTGTGTGCAATTTTTTTTGTCCCCATCACACTATTGTAAGCAACAGAACTGACAAGCTTTACATTTAAAAAAAAAAAAAAATTCTAGACATTTTAGCAACAATATTACAATTTTTTTAGCTTAAAAAAGAAATAAAAGAATTAGCGCCATAAAATTAATTTATTCCAAGTAAAAATACAAAATAATAATGACATTGACCAGACATGAAAGTCTCTCCCAGAAATAGCTAACATTAATGGTTGAGGAATTAGTGTAACGAAAACACAAATAAAAAATGATGAAAAATATGTAAATGTGTTTTAATTCTAGTCTCTATTTTTCTTTCTTTTTTTGCAAAAAATCTCTAAAAAATAATGAAAAAATTTCTCCGTACAAAGGCTACATAACTACTGGAAGGTACTAGCATGTCGAGTAAATACACAGTAGAAAATGATTTTAGTGAATCACAATGCTTGCAATGAAAATAAATCTGCAATAAAGATATATGCCTCTTTTTCAGTTCTTTTTTTTATCTTTTTTTTTTACAAACAGTACAAACAGTATTGCACATTACAACAAAGAATCGAGGTTCTCAGCCTTTAAAAAAGGGACTAATTCAAGTCTTGGGTGAGTAGAAGGCTTTCCATCGAGTTGAAACGTTTCATATCTTTCCAGCTTTCCAAAATGAACATGGTTTTCTCGCCATCTTGCCAAAAACCATAATAAAAATGTTGTTTTCCCTAAATTATATAAGTTGCATGTGCGCTTTACAAAACAAAGGGGAACACGTCATTTCACGAAACATAAAAAAATAATGAACAGAAGATTTCACAACTCTGGTCAGCATAGTAAAGGACTGTTTGTAAATATATAAAAACGTAAGTAGTATGTTCAGTTGACTTTATAAGCACCTGACGGCCGGTTGACCCTATAGAATATATATATTTAAATCAAATATATATATATATTATACTATTAATAAGATCAGATGTTTGTGGAACACTGTGATGTTGCGTCTGTACTTCAGCTTCCTACAGTATTCAAATAATACAGCTCTAACTCCTTCAGTTGTTTTTGATTTTAATTTTTTTCAAAAAATAAAATTAAAAGCAAATAAGCATGACAAAAATAAAATTAAGCATCTGTTAAATCATTTTTTTTCTCTAGCAGAATTAAATTAATATATATATATATAGTCTTTATTTGAATAAACTTACTTAGAAAATATCAATCTCTCTCCTATAATATTTCAAAATTGAGGTATTGCAAAAGATTACGTCAGTCAGAAAGCACACATATTTTTCTATTAAAAAAGTAACGAAAAAAAACCCAACAACAACGCTGACTGTTCAACCATCCAGATACAAAGAGTAGTGCATAACAAATATTATCTACTACAGAGAAGGAACAAACATAGAAAAATCTGGGCAAGGGAAAGAAATATCACAAAGACACCCAGAATTCACCATCATCAGGATCAAGGTTACCCACAATCCTCTTTTTCTCAATCGGTACAAAAGCAGTGTTCGCATACGTCGTTTTTTTTTTTTTCAGACCAACGAACTAAACGTGCCGCCCTAAAGCAGACAGTTTTTTTTTACTCTCAGATAAGCAGCCAAGACGCATTTCTTGCGTTGCGCTCCTCTCCACCCTCTCTACCTTTCTGAATTTAGTTTAAAAATGTCCACCGTCGACATTAGCAGGTCATGATTCTACTTCAAGCTTCGCAGGATAATCTGGATATAAATGCAGCGGTCACTCAAGGTTATTCCGCCCGCCGTATCTCAAAGTTAGGTTCAGAGCCAGTGTTCGCTTATTCTCCCAGAGTCACCGGTCGGACACAGTATTGTGAAACGTTGGCGTGTAACGTAGTGTTATTGGTCATTTTGAGCCGGACTCTTTGGTTCTGACGGGACGCGTGTCGAGGGCTAACAACTAGCAGAAGTGTGCGAAAGAAGGGACCGTATGTTTACATACGCTAGTTTCACAGGACGTTCCATGTCAGACATCAATAACAGTTAAAGCGAATCACAGTTCTAGGCGTCTTCTAACTGAACTACATAGTGTATAAAAATTGCACAATTCTATGAACAACCACTGCAAAAAAAATGCTTCACCTGTTGAAGACATTTTGCTAGAAGATTTTCTACATCTAACTGGTTTGAAACACCACTGCGGTCCTGTATGGAGCCCCTATAGGGACATGGTGATGGTAAAGCAATGAGATGGGAGGAAAAAGTATATTTCAGTGCTTTTGTGTTCGCTCGCAAAACTTTAGTGCAAACGTTTTGCGAGAGAACAAACATTTTGAGCAGACGCAAATGTTGCGCAAGCGAACGCTAATGTTTTTTGAGCAAGCGCAAATGTTTTGCGTCCGAATACTAATGTTTTTTGAGCAAACGCAAATGTTTTGCGATAGAACAAACATTTTAAGAAGACACAAATGTTTCGCAAGCGAACGCTAATGTTTTTTGAGCAAACGCAAATGTTTTGCGAGCAAATGCTAATGTTTTTTGAGCAAACGTAAAAATGTTTCGCGATAGAACAAACATTTTAAGAAGACGCAAATGTTTCGCAAGCGAACGCTAATGTTTTTTGAGCAAACGCAAATGTTTTGCGTCCGAATGCTAATGTTTTTTGAACAAACGCAAATGTTTTGCGATAGAACAAACATTTTAAGAAGACGCAAATGTTTCGCAAGCGAACGCTAATGTTTTTTGAGCAAACGCAAATGTTTTGCGAGCAAATGCTAATGTTTTTTGAGCAAATGCAAATGTTTTGCGATAGAACAAACATTAAGAGGGTGCAAATGTTTCGCAAGCTAACGCTAATGTTTTTTGAACAAACGCAAATGTTTTGAGGGCAAACAAAAAGTGTCTTGAGCAGACGCAAATGTTTTGTGAGCGAATGCAAATGTTTTAAGTGAACACTAATGTTTTCCGAATTAATGTAAATGTTTTCAAGCAAAGCAAATGTTTTGTGAGCAAATGTAAATGTTTTTTGAACAAACCCAAATGTTTCGCAAGTTAACGTAAATGTTTTGTGAGTGAAAGCTAATGTTTTTCAAGCAAACGTAAATGTTTTGTGAGCGAACGAAAATGTTTTTCAAACAACTGCAAATGTTTTGCAAATGAACGTAATACTTTTGTGAGAGAATGCAATGTTTTTTGAGGGAGACACAATACTTTTCTGAGGGAACAAATTTTTTGCAAGCAGACGCAAATGCATCGAGACATAATTTTCCCTCCCATCTTATATTTTTCCCATCACCACGTGCCCTGAAGAGCTCCGCAGCACGCTCATCTGGCCGGTCTTGTGGGGAAATGAAAGTGATGCCCGATTCTACAGCATGCATCGCAGATTCGTTTACATGCAGTTTCGGTGCAGACCCCTCGGAGCGCTCGTTCGCCTGAATAAAGTATGATGGTATGGGTTCATACCACAGATTTAGCAGCAAAGCTATTGCAGCATTACATGTTGATAATACCAAAAAACTCGTAAAAAAAATGTAAGCCTAAAAAGTCGGAGCGAACAGAAAGAGATGCATGCATGAGGTATTACTATTCATTTCAACATGGAGAGCAAATGGCTGTTTACTTTAATAACTTGGGTGTTTTTTAACAGCTCACCCGACATGATTTGCTTAATGAATTCAATTTTACCTTTGGTAACTTTTTTTTTTGTCATCATCTAAAGGAGAATTTCCTATCACTCTTTTATCACAATAAGTGCATGCTCCTTTAAAAAGTCTGACACCCAAAATGTATTATCTATGTGTATATAGATAAATAATATAAAATAAAAATATATCCTTTTTGTAAATGTATATATTATATACTGTATATATAGTCTCACACTGCCTAATGTTACCTATATGGAGGACTAAACCGATCAAACGAGAGAATTAAAGCACAACATCCTGATAAGCGTTAACATCGACTGTTTGTGCCAAAGTGCAACGTTTGAGCGCGCAGACTCACAATTCATATTTTCCTAAATGTTCGTAAGCAGAGAATATACTTGACAGAGATATCATGATATTTGTTTTGTAAAAGGGGAGATCCGTGAGTGGTTACTGGTAATGGTGCTGGAGGTGTTTGTTGGGTGGAGAGGGTGATGTGCCGCTCGTCATCAGCTCCAGCGGAAGGACACGTGCCGAGGTCGGTCTCCACCTTCCTTCACCAGCGGTTTGTGGAACTCACGGCCGGCGCGCGAGTGGATGCTCGCCCAGCAGTACTCGCAGTAATACTGCAGACAGGTGACGTTGGCACAGAAAAAAGGGGCGAATTTTCCTCCGCAGCGAGCGCCCTGACATTCATCACACATCTGATCGTCCAGCACGTACGGTTTCACCTCCACCTGCAGACACGGCCAGAAAGAGCACTTATAGACAGCTTCATTCAAAGCTACATCCTGCTCTGTTTTATGTGTCTGAAATAATGAAGATCCACCTGGGTTATTAAAGTCAGCTAAATATTTAAACCATAAAAATAATAAATACATTACATGGGGAACAGGACTGTAAAATAAAGTGCTACCCAAAAATGTTAGAGTAATTGTAATAACTGGGTAATAACTAGGTACTAACCCTGAACCTACCCCTAAACCTAACCTTAACCCATATAGTTACCTTATATTACCCAGTAAGTGCATGTAAGTACACATACTGTAAAATAAAGTGCAACCCATTTTTGTTACTTAAAATTGAAACAAACACACATGTGCGAACAGAAAGCCACTTCTTACAGGGCTTGAATTTACAAAAACACACAAAATGATGCCAAAATGCCCGTTTTGTCGAGTATTTAGTATTTATTATTAAATGAGTAAAATGAAGTCCTAAATTAAGAGTTGTGATAAAATGGGATGTGCGTAAAAACCCCGTAATATGTGGGAGGTCTGACGCTGAATGGCTATAATGAATGGCTAAACCTGAGAACAAAATATTAGTTTAAAATATGAAATTATTACAATATAAAATATATATTAAAAACTTTAATGTTAGGTGCAATTAATTAATTGCAATTAATTACAGACCAATGTGTGATTAATTAGTTGTTTTATTATGTGTAATTAATTGGTTAATTCGTTTTTTAATTGATTGACAGCACTACTTGAAATACATTAAATGTTAACTGAAATAAAATAAAAAATATTAAAACTGTGTATTTTAAAGAAACCTTATAAACTAAAAAGGAAACATCTCTCATTTTCGTTGTTTAACTTGATGTACTAAAATAACTAAAACAAACAAAAATAAAATATACTAATAAAAACTATATAGACATTAAAAAACAAAACAAAATGACACACAACAAAACTACTAAAATGTTAACAAATTAAAATTAAAATGGAAAACCTTTAAAAATAAAAATGTATTCAAACTATGAATAAAAACTATAATAGTATATCAATGATACTAAAATAACACTGGGAACCACATACAAATGAATTTCAATTTTAAAATGTATTTAAATAGAAAATGTATATAATATATATACTTTTTTCTTTTCTTTTTTTTTTTTTTTAAATACCAATCCCAGATTTTTATATACAGTTTGGGATCGGTAGGTAAATTCACATTTACACTAACAGCACAAAATAAACTAAAAAAATTTGATTATGTGACATAGTGATGGAAGGGGTGATTCTGGGGAGCATACAGTTTTAGTCCAGTGACCATCAGCTATTTACTTCTGAATAACATTCCCAAACCAGTCCAGTAACTCCAGTGTGTACATATGCGTGCAGGAATAGCATGGATCTATAATTAACAAAGGCCACGTCTGAGACTTCAAATGTCTGTCAGGCCTCCAGAAGCCCATGGTCATGTTGATTACACACAGTCTGCTCTGGGGTAAACACAGTCTGTATGGAAACAGCCTACAGGAAAACCACGCTACAGAAACTGACACTATTCAATCACATCTAGAATTACAGTTATAAAAGTACAGTATAAAAACCTCTTCCGACACTTGTCTAGTCAATGCGGCATTCATAGAGTTCTGCTCCTTTTTTTATAATGTCCCGTTATTAAGCAGATTTCCCATTTGTAAAGAGTTTTTCACACAACTTCTCATGTAAACTGTCTGGTAAACCCTGGCGGCTTTTCGAAAGGTCAAACGGCGTCCGAGTTCAAATTGTTTGACGTTAAATGTCACATTATAACGTGCCGTCGAGGGTATCTGTAGCTTGATGCTTCAATCAATGCATTAGGAGTCATGAAAAGTCTGATCTTAAGTTAGTACTACATTCAGTTTTGCTGTTCCTGCAGTGTGTGTAATGAGAAGCATTCGAGAGTTTGCTGTGATTCTGGTGGCTGTTATATGAGCTCACTCACCCGTTTGTCAATGTCATTATGCTGCAGCTGGACAAATCTCGCGCTGATGGCAGCGATGTAGCTCTGCTGATTGGAGAAGGCCACTCTGCCCGCCCCTTTGGGGTATTTGAGTTCTGGGTCAGTGTCAATGCCAGCGTAACACACACCTCCATACAGTCTGTCCATGATCATAGCCAGCTCCACTAAACACACACAGGAGAAACACAGCATTATGCACAGTATGATGTTGATCCACAAGATGTTAATGATGATGTATTTGATATTTGGGAGGAAACTACACTTGCAAATGTCTGTGAAAAAGCGATTTCACATCCTGAGCAGCACAAGAGAGAGAGAGAGAGAGAGAGTGAGAGAGAGAGAGAGAGAGAGAGAGAGAGAGAGAGAGAGAGAGAGAGAGAGAGAGAGAGAGAGAGAGAGAGAGAGAGAGAGAGAGAGAGAGAGAGAGAGAGAGAGTCACCTGCACGTAGAGGTCGTGGAACGCCTCCCACAAAGATGGTTTTGCGTGGGTCAAGAGGCTGAGAGCCGTCCATCACGAAATCACTGTCACTCAGGTTCCACGGGCGAATCTGGACCTGAGGAGGAAAAACAGTTGATCTGTAAAAGAAATTCAATGTAGGACGCTTGTTTAAGCCCAAGTAGGACCAAACTAGTCTTCTCTAAGGAGGTTGGGAAATTTGTGTATCTCTCTGTGATTTTAATGCCACCTGATTTGAACTCTGAAAAATGATTCTCTTCATTTACTTTGACCTTGGTCTAATACAGTACACAAAAGGTCAATTATATTAGCTTATTATTTATCAGTTCATTACTTTGAATTATATATATATATATATATTTATTCATTTAAATCTTTCATATTTTACATACATATATTAATAATTTAAAATAAAATTTTAATTTTTAACATTTATATATATATATATATATAACAGATATTCATTTGATATATTATATACTTTTATAATCATTTATATTTCACATTTACATACATATATTGAATAATTTATAAATAAATATATATATATATATATGTGTGTGTGTGTTTACATTTTACAAATCACATACACATGTATTGCATATTTTACATACAGACAGATAGATAGATAGATAGATAGATAGATAGATAGATAGATAGATAGATAGATAGATAGATAGATAGATAGATAGATAGATAGATAGATAGATAGATATGAAGATTATTATAACTCGAGCATCATTTAGAAATCTACGATAGTCTGAATCTATCCTAGTCTTATCTTTAGTCTAGATAAGCTGGTAATGACAGATGCACTCTGAGCTGTGTCAGTGCTTCACTCACTGGTTTATCTTTAATAGTGGGGCTCGAGACACACAGGTAGAGTTTCCCATCCTCCTCGATGCAGGCGTCAATGAGGGCCTGGACCGAACTCTCCTCCTGGAAGAGCAGGAAAGCATAACCTGCAGAAGAAGAGCACGAGGGATGAGACACTCTCTGGCTGCAGACCAACAGTGATCTAACCGAGAGTTTCAAAAGACTCACGGGAAGCACATAAACGCTACAGACGGCAGAGACAGAAGTGTGCATGTGTATCTGTCTCTAACTAACAGGAACAGGAGTGTAAGAATGAATAACTGATGTAAGTAGGAAGTTTAAATAATCTGAGACCCGATCTGATTTCTTCTATCACTCACAGGCCTGTAGCTACGGACAGAACGGGGCATGTGGGAGGGGCATTACTGAGAGGGGCGGGGCTGTGGGCGGAGTTATGCAGAGGTGAAATCAGGACAGATCTGAGACTGCTTTCTGTAGCTGAAATTACTAAAGACAACATCATCTGAAATTTGCCACTGTCACATTTATTTCACATTACAGCTACTGTCCCGGGCATAAATGAAATATTATAGTCACAAATTTTTATTAAACAATATTTTTAAAGCAAATTCCGTCTGCTACAAGATACTGTCTTTGACATCAACAATAAGGAATTCACTGTGTATGAACAGTGTAGGAACACACTGCAGTATGTCTCCTATGCAGTTTTATAACATTTGCTGTTATTATATCATGAATTTTAAGACGAGGATTATGATTTTTATACTGTAAATAAACAAAGTCATTATTGTCTGTAGTTTTCCTTTCACTGTTCTGACCCTAAACATGCATTTAGGCTGCTTTCAAGAGCATATATGCTGTCTGTCTGTGAATTCATGATGTCCACCGTTCTCAAGTCCTTCTGACGGAGTGATTTTACACTATACCACTGCAGTATGAGAACATCAGGATCAGAGCCAGCAGAAAGACCAGAAGGAAGAAAAGAACAAGGCGTTCCGCCTCAGGGAAAGAAAGAGTGTAAGAGGCAGGCGAAAGGAGAGAGAAATATGAACCACCTTGGGAAAGTGAATCAAGGACATCAAAAGAAAGTTTGGAGAGATTCATGGACAAGCATCAGATTTATTAGAGCCAGAGGTTTTACCTCCACAGATTGAGACCATCTCCTAAGATTAAATATAATAAAGAAATATACTGTACAAAAAATATTCAGATTGGATTATTCTACTCAATTAGGGATTATGATAAAAAAATATGATATTAAACATTACATATTTGTATTTATTATTCATTATTATTATTATCATTAATATATGTTCCCACTTCACCCTAAATGAGCTACTGCATCCACAAATATTTTCATGATTTTATTATCGCACTGGTAAAATATTTACTATAAAAAAATGTATTCATCAGAATGCACTGCAACTTCTGAAGTCCTTCAGTAGAGAACAATGCTTTTTGTTTTGCTGGTGTAATTCTCTCATCTACCAGCAGGGGCGAACTGGACCACGTTAACCAGCTAAACCTTGACTTAAAGGGATAGTTCTGCCAAAAATGTAAATTCAGTCATCATTTACTCACCCTCAAGCTGTTCCAAAACTGTATGAATTTATTTCTTCTGTTGAACACAAAAGAAGATATGACAGCTGATAGTAGCCATTGACTTCCATGGTATTTTTTTCTTATTATGGAAGTCAATGGCTACCGTCAACTGTCTGGTTACCTACATTCTTTAAAAGATCATATTTTGTGTTAAACAGAAGAAGAAACTCATACAGGTTTGGAACTTGAGGGTGAGTAAATGATGACAGAATTGACCTTTTTGGGTGAACTGTCCCTTTAATTTCCATCCTATTTTTCAGCTGGTCTCTGAACAGAAGGAGCTCTTCAATAAATCTCAGTGTTAATGATAAGCGTATAACAGCCTCGTGAAGGCATTTAACCCTATTTAACGTGTTTAGAGCCTCAGCGCTGACCTCAGTCCTGCACACTGTGAGTCATGATGCTTTTAAACAACACTGGATGGAAACATGACCAGCATCTTCCATTCACTCAGTCTGGATCAGTGTTTCATATGAGCTGGAGGAACAATGAGCACATCTACAAAAAGCAGTTACACACAGTGACAGGACGGCTAAGGCATGAAGACTACACGAGTCCAAATATATCAAATCCACAAGTGCAGATCATTGTACAGAGCACAGATCTAATAAATGAAGAAAGATACAGTGGCCTCAAAAAGTACTTGGACACTTAAGCCGATCTTAGTTTGTGAAATCATTGCATTATTTAACAAAATATCAAAACAAGTAACATTTACTCATACATCCATTAAAATCACCTTGAGATCAGCAAAATGAAGCTCTTGCTTTGATCATTTATTATGAAATGCATACAATTTGTAAGATTAAAAAATAAGCCACTATAAGCAAACTAGAAAAAAAGGGTACACTTTAATTTAGGGTCCAATTCTCAATATTAACTAGTTGCTTATAATAAGCATGCATATTACTAGGATATTGGCTGTTTATTAGTACTTGTAAAGCACATATTAATGCCTTATTCTGCATGACCATATTCTACATCCCTTAATCCTACCCAATGCCTAAACTTAACAACTACCTTACTAACTAATAAGAAGTAATTAGAAGTGTATTGAGGCAAAAGTCGTAGTTAATAGTGAGAATTGGACCCTAATCTAAAGTGTGACCATGAAAATTAGTTACTAGTTGCAATATTTACAGAAACTGCATAAGCAGCTTACACAACAAGCAATTATTCACTGTAATGATCCAATAAACTTTAAGCATCCCCTTTTAATTTCTTCATTATAATCATGTCACAATATTTTATAGTATAGTCCAACCAGAAATTTTCACTACAGTTAAAGCTCAGAGCACAGGACTTAATTAAATTAATTCAAATGTTTAATAGAATGAAAGATTGAGAGGGAGAACACATAAATATTATATATATATTATATGGTAAATAATAAATACAATTGAAACATTGTTAACATCTTTGGTTACACTTTTTTTATTTTAAGGTGACAGTTACATAGTACTTCCTCAAATAAGTACTGAGTAATATTAATTAACTATAGAGTTACGGTTATGGTTTGGTTCAGGGTTAGTTACTTGTAATTATGCATAATTTATTGTTATTACTATAGTAAGTACATTATCATGCAACAACGTCACCTTAAAATAAAGTGTTACAGAATCTTAACTATTAAAAGTCCGAAAAAAATGAACTTAATCTGCATTTCATGTAATTAATGTGATTAAAAATTTTAATCGATTGAAAGAAATCTGTATTTCCTTATAACATATGTACAAATATCTCATTATACATATAATGAATCTATATCCTACAATATACACTCACCGGCCACTTTATTAGGTACCCCATGCTAGTAACGGGTTGGACCCCCTTTTGCCTTCAGAACTGCCTCAATTCTTCGTGGCATAGATTCAACAAGGTGCTGGAAGCATTCCTTTAGGGAGTTTGGTCCATATTGACATGATGGCATCACACAGTTGCAGCAGATTTGTCGGCTGCACATCCATGATGCGAATCTCCCGTTCCACCACATCCCAAAGATGCTCTATTGGGTTGAGATCTGGTGACTGTGGAGGCCATTTTAGTACAGTGAACTCATTGTCATGTTCAAGAAACCAATTTGAAATGATTAGAGCTTTGTGACATGGTGGAAGTAGCCATCAGAGGATGGGTACATGGTGGCCATAAAGGGATGGACATGGTCAGAAACAATGCTCAGGTAGGCCGTGGCATTTAAACGATGCCCAATTGGCACTAAGGGGCCTAAAGTGTGCCAGGAAAACATCCCCCACACCATTACACCACCACCACCAGCCTGCACAGTGGTAACAAGGCATGATGGTTCCATGTTCTCATTCTGTTTACGCCAAATTCTGACTCTAACATCTGAATGTCTCAACAGAAATCGAGACTCATCAGACCAGGCAACATTTTTCCAGTCTTCAACTGTTCAATTTTGGTGAGCTCTTGCAAATTGTAGCCTCTTTTTCCTATTTGTAGTGGAGATGAGTGGTACCCGGTGGAGTCTTCTGCTGTTGTAGCCCATCCGCCTCAAGGTTGTGCGTGTTGTGACTTCACAAATGCTTTGCTGCATACCTCGGTTGTAACGAGTGGTTATTTCAGTCACTGTTGCCCTTCTATCAGCTCGAACCAGTCTGGCCATTCTCCTCTGACCTCTGGCATCAACAAGGCATTTCCGCCCACAGAACTGCCGCTCACTGGATGTTTTTTCTTTTTCGGACCATTCTCTGTAAACCCTAGAGATGGTTGTGCGTGAAAATCCCAGTAGATTAGCAGTTTCTGAAATACTCAGACCAGCCCTTCTGGCACCAACAATCATGCCACGTTCAAAGTCACTCAAATCACCTTTCTTCCCCATACTGATGCTCGGTTTGAACTGCAGGAGATTGTCTTGACCATGTCTACATGCCTAAATGCACTGAGTTGCCGCCATGTGATTGGCTGCTTAGAAATTAAGTGTTAACGAGCAGTTGGACAGGTGTATCTAATAAAGTGGCCGGTGAGTGTATATTTATATAAACAATACATTTTATTATACATTATATGGTTATATATAAAATTATATATACATTGTTCAAAGTTTCAATGATGAAACGGGTCCCTGTGCCCGTCCAATCAAACTCTGTCAGCTATTTCCAGGTACTCACACAAACATGTACGTGAGTTACGTGATGAAATGCAGTTAGTCTCTCCCTCTAGGTGTGTATCTGTAAGTACTTGTCTGTGTGCATCTGTTCAAGCCATAGAAATGAACACCTGGAGGCCCTATGAACTGACGCACACAACACAACAGCTTCCTGATGCTCAGATTAAACTCTGACCAGCATCCACACGATAGACTCATTTGAGGTAAATGCCGACTGTGATGTCATACTTTCAGTTCTCAAACGCAGACGGTGTCGAAGGGGAATAATTCTGTCACTGATTTGTTAAATATTTGCAGCTGTATTAAAGTGCCGCAGGAGAGATGATGTCATAAATGTCATTACCTTTAGGAGGAAAATAGGATTTGCTTTCTGCTTTATGAGGCCAGTCCACCACCAGGTGACCGTAGCGACGGAAACTGTTGGTGATTTCATCTGTAGGACAAATGGAAAGTATTTAGACCAAAAATATGGATTCCAAACATTGTAAAAAAAAAAAAAAAAAAAAAAAAAAAAAAAAAAAAATCAGTTACTGAATCCCCTCCAAATAACAATGCTGGGGACTCATAATTTAAAAAATAATAATTCCTTTGCTATGAATCACATTTTCAGTCATGTGTGTTTTTTTTTCTGTGTCTCATGCAGTTGCTAGTGTGTTCTGTGTGGTTGCTACGTGGCCAAAAGTGCATAACCCACCAGTCTATATAATAATCTTTAGATATAATAATCTGTAGATATACTTTGTGTCAGTTGTTGTTGTAAATTAACAAATTTCCCCCATTATTATAGTTTTTATTCATATTTTGAATGAGCTCTTTTTATACTTTGTTTTCATTTTAATTTAAGTTACCTTTGTAGTCATTTTGTTATGTACCTTTGATTATATTTTTTTTAATTATTACTATTTAGGTTTAATTTATTTTTATTTTCATTTCCGTTAATTTTCAGTTAGTGATTTTTGTGCTTCAACTTAAACTAAATGAAAGTAAAAATGATTTAATTTGCAAATAACTGAAATACAGTTTACATTTTTCATCTGAAATTTACATTTTATTTTATTTCAGCATCACTTATTCATGTCAACTTTTTTATTTTAACAGAAATATTTTAATAGTTTTACTTGTAGTTGCTGATAATAACCCTAAAACAGATACATAGTAGCACAAAAAAAATCACTGTGTATATGTGAGCAGATACAGGTACAATTTTATTTCTATCATATTCTATTTATGATACTGTATCTTGAAGACCATTTTTTATTAAAGAATTGATATACCCTCCAAACTCAAGTTCAGCACTGAGCCGTGTGTGTGAGTCCCGTACCTTCATCGATGTCAGGCGGCAGTCCACCGACAAACACCTTCCTGGAGTAGCGCTCCATCCTCTCTCCGTTCTGACAGCGGCTGGGAGAGCTCAGGCCAGGGGTCAGCGCTGGATCCCCGTGACCCTCGTCCAAGAAGCCGTCCTCGAAAGGAAACAGTGAAGAGCGACCTGTAGAGGAAGCAGAGAGAACAAACAAGAAGAAGAGAAGAGGAGGAATCACACAGGACAGGAGATGAAAGAGAGGGAAAGCCAGAGAAGAGAAAAAGATTAGAGGACAAAAAATGTCAAAGACTACAACAAAAAAAACAATTTTTTTTTATATATATACGTATATATTGTTATATTATATACTACTGTTCAAATGTTTGGGGTAACTAAGTTAAAAAAGTTAAGATTTAAAGAAATTAATTCAGTAAGGACTCTCAATAATAAATAATACATATATATATAATAATACATTTATATTCATCAAATAATCTTGAAAAAAAGTATCACGGTTTCCACAATAATATTAAGCAACACATCTGTTTTCAACATAAGAAAATAAATGTTTTCAAAAACAAGAAATTTTTATTGAGCAGTAAATCAGCATATTAGAATGATTTCTGAAGGATCATGTGACTGGTGTAATGGTGCTGAAAATTCAGCTTTGCCATCATAGAAATTTATTACATTTTAAAATATATTTAAATAGAAAACAGTTATTTTAAATTGTAAAAAATATTTCACAATATTACCGTTTTGACTGTATTTTCATAAATAAATCTAAGCATAAGATACTTATTTATAAAAAAATAAATAAAAAAAAAATAAAAAAACGATCCCCAACTTTCGAACTGTAGTATAATTTATTTCAAATTGCATGGATTACAACATATTTTAGTTGAAAATGATTCATTAATTTAGATATTACATGAAACTGGATTGTTCAAATGTATCATTTTTATAAGCTTCATTGTTTCATTCACTTTGGCACTTTGGATCATCCATAAAAAATAAAAATCCCAAATAATTACACAAGCAACAATCCATTTCTTTTTTGTCTTACTCATATTTGTGAAGTGTTAACCTGAAGACATGTTAAAACACACACACACACACACACACACACACACACACACACACACACACACACACACACGTGATCAATATGATCAGGTAGGCATTACTATCCAAAACAAGATACATTTTCATACTGAAATGCAAAAACAACAGTGCTGTGATCAGACGCGTCACTGTGTGAGGAAACAGACCTTTAAACACAAACACTGATATCCCTTTTCCATCTAAATTACAGTTTATCACAAAGAGTTATTCCTAGATTTGAGAACATATTTCAGTTCATGGTCATGATGCGATTAATTGATCAGGTTTTTTTAAAACGTAAGAAAATACAATAAAAAAACACACATGATTGTAAATCAATTTATTTTAGATAAATGGGGAATAAATAGAATTTCAGAGAGACAAAAATAGAAGTATTACAGGTATGGAAAAACAAACTAAGGGTGTGTTCACACTTGTAGTTCAGTTCGCTTGGTTTGTTGGTCCAGTGCTTAGCATTCACATTGGCACTTTCACACCAAACCTCAAGGTACAGGGAAATGTTCACAACCTGATTGGTCGGCTTTTATTACGCATATTTCACGACTGAACTTACAGAGCATCCAAAACAATGCTGTGTGCTGGGATAAATGCGCTCGTTGATGATTCACTTCAAACATACAAGATTTTTCAACTTTCTCAATAATATTTTAGTGATTGTTGTCCATTTTGTTAGGAAATCAATGGCTAAAATATTCCTCGGACTCCTTAGTTTTTATGCAATAACAAAAAAGGAAACAATAATTGTAATTATTAGCAGAAAACAATGGCAAAATGAACATGAATTAATGCAATCACTGCACAAATGAAGCAGATATTATGACCCCCCTCCCCTCATGTCCCCGTGACCCTCATAGACAACAAGCAAATCAGCCATGGCAAAAGCCCCATCATTTCTGCGAGCACAAACATAAAGAAGGCGTCAGGTTACCTCTTCTGCGACCATAACTCCTGGCTGCTCGAGAGCAGAGAGACAGGTGAAGATAGAGAAAGAGAGAGAGACAGACAGATAGAAGAGGGAGAGAGACAGAAATGGGGTTTTTCAAGCTTGGTTTCACTTGTCGTTGCATTATGACACACTTCATAACACAACACTAGTATGCATTGTATTGCCGCAAGAAATGTCATGGGTTTTTTTATAGCTTGTTTTCTCTTTCAGGTGAATAGAATCTTCCTGATCAAATTGAAAGAAGCTAAACTGTTGACATGTTTATAGCTAATGGAATAGCAGCAACACATCCCGTCTAATTTTAAAAGATATTCTATCGGCCCCTTGTATATCGAGTTTTTTTTCCCAATACACACCTACCTATCTATCTTAAATTACATTTTTATATACAACTCTGCCTTTACTGCACTATTGTTCAAATGTTTGGGGTTCTGTTGAAAAATCTAGTAAACACACACACACACACACACACACACACACCTACAGTACCGGTCAAAAATTTGGAAACATTTTTTAATGTTTTTGAAAATAGTCTCTTAATTTCACCAAGGCTGCATTTATTTGATCAAAAATACAGCAAAAACAGCAATACTGTGGAATATTATTACAATTTAAATTTACTGGTTTCTGTTGTAATATATTTTAAAATGTAATTTATTTCTGTGACGCAAAGCTGAATTGTCAGCATCATTACTCCATTCTTCAGTGTCACATGATCCTTCAGAAATCATTCTAATATGATGATTTGATGCTCAGAACAAGTTTCTTATTATTATCATCAATGTTGAAAACAGTTGTGCTGCATTTTCTTCAGGATTCTTTAATGAATAGAACGTTCAAAAGAACAACATTGATTTAAAATAGATTGTTTTGTGATAATATGAATGTATTTACTGTCACTTTTGATCATTTTAATGCGTCCTTGCTGAATAAAATTATTCATTTCTTTAAAAAGATATTTGACCCCAAACTTTTGAATGCTCTAGTTATACATACACATTTGTTAAAGGAAGAGTCAATTGATAAAAGTATTTTATTAATTAAAGGTGCTCTAAGCGATGTCACGCGTTTTTTAGGCCAAAACATTTTTTGTCACATACAGCAAACATCTCCTCACTATCCGCTGGCTGCCTGTCCCCTGAACACACTGTAAAGAAACGCGGTCTCTGCAGACAGCCCAGGCTCCACAAACGGCAGCAAAAACAAACTGCGGCGACCCGCTCCACGAAACATAACAAACTGTTCCAGCCAATGACCGACAAGAAGGGCTTGGGGGTGTGGTTTGGGGGGTTAGTGTGCGGATGAGGAGGAGGGAGGGTCTAGCTAGCCTCCGTTTTGTTTGACAATAGTTCGAACGTCAACAAGAAGTGACGTCACCCAGGATCGCTTAGGGAACCTTTAACTGATAAAATAAAATAAAAAACATAACAATATCCTGATTAGATTAGATACAACTTTATTTATCCCCAAGGAGAAATGTAGCCATTACAGCTGCATGGAGAAGACAGTCAAAAATAAATAAATAAAATAAATTTGGAATAGAATTAAACCAGTACAATAATGGTAACTGAATATACACTAAAAACCATCATAAACACACCAAAAAAAAGAACAAAAAAAAGAAGCTATTGCACTTAAAGGGTTAGTTCACCAAAAAATGATGTCATTAATGACTCACCCTCATGTCGTTCCAAGCCCGTAAGACCTCCGTTCATCTTCGGGACACAGTTTAAGATATTTTAGATTTAGTCCGAGAGTTTTCTGTCCCTCCATTGAAAATGTATGTACGGTATACTGTCCTTGTCCAGAAAGGAAATAAAGACATCATCAAAGTAGTCCATGTGACATCAGTGGGTTAGTTAGAATGTCATCAGCGTCACTGCGGACTCGTGAACGCGGCTTGACAACAGAACCGGAAGACAATACAATGCTGAATAAAGTCGTAGTTTTTGTTTTTTTTGGACCAAAATGTATTTTCGATGCTTCAAAATATTCTAACTAACCCACTGATGTCACATGGACTACTTTGATGATGTCTTTATTTCCTTTCTGGACAAGGACAGTATACCGTACATACATTTTCAATGGAGGAACAGAAAACTCTCGGACTAAATCTAAAATATCTTAAACTGTGTCCCGAAGATGAACGGAGGTCTTACGGGCTTGGAACGACATGAGGGTGAGTCATTAATGACATAATTTTTGGGTGAACTAACCCTTTAAGCAAACAAAACATTATTGCAACTATGCATTCTGATGATAATTATGCAGGGAGACCAGAAACACATAATAACAGATATATCATTAAATACGAATGAAAAAACATTAACAAATAAATAAATATCCTACATCTGGATATATGGGTAAATATACTCTCCTAAGGATAAAACTGGTCCTAGGAGTGTCAAACCCCAGCCTCAGTACTAAGATATGCTGATATTAAAAAGTCGAACTGCTGTTGGAACAAAGGATCTCCGGTAGCGTTCCCTCTTACAATGGGGGTGCAACAGTCTATGACCTAAGGTCCCAACGGTCTCATACATTTGGTTCCTGATGTCGACTCTATGGTCTAAAAAGAGCCATAGAGATGCTCCAACTGTATGACATTTTCAGAGTTGGATGTATTGCTTTCATTCTGGGGGATCTCACTTTCGGGGTTTTCATTAAACCAGTCGGCCCATAGTCTCTGGGTACACAGAAACAGAGGCGGTGCCGGGGGGTCTAATACTCCTAGCAACAATGAAAGGAGAAAGCTACAGTGTCTGGAGTGAGTCAACACCCACCCGGAGAGACGGACGGGGTATTTGTTGAGAGGTGACTGTGGGCAGCAGGAAAAAGGGCAGTTCCAGTGAAATAGCAGTTTCTCTTTTTGTTAAAGAATAACCAGTTACATTTAGCAAGGGCTCAAGAGTGAGAAAAAGCAACTGGAGAAAGTCCCTCAGGCTGATTCTTAATACAAGTCACAGCAGAACACACACAGCCTTGACACACTGGGATACAGAGCAAGAACACTGAGTCCGACAAACTCGGTCCACCTGTCCTCTAAACATGGTGTTGAATTAACACCAGTCTGGAATTTTTGCGCAGTGGCGGGTAGTTTTGCTTCATCACGAACCCCGACCATCAGGGGAATATAATAGGAAAATCTAGTTTTCATGCATCACGGGACAGGTATAGAGATGTGTGAGGGTGGTGTTCACCAAAAACACCTTCTTGTGTCCATCTGAGGCATTTCTTAAGTGCTGGTCTATGTGATCTTGCGTTAGATGGATGTCTTTAGCTGCTACGGCACGACTCACACCATGATTGATTGACACGTTTATAATATCCTGTGTGTTGAGTTATAAATAGTTCAGCTTTTGACAGCATATCAATGTCAGATGTAAAACAGACCAATCAGCTAAATCTGTGGCACGTTAAACACATTACATATGGACAAGAAAGAAGTCATCAAAATGGAAAGAAAAGACATTAATTTATATCGGGTTCATATTTGGTCTACTAAAAGAGGTTGTCACACATTTTTCAAATTATATATATATATATATATATATACATACAAGGGTTATTATAGTTAACTAAAACTATTAAAACACTTTTGTTCATTGAAATAAAAGTAGAATATTTTTCAGATGAATAACTTATTTTCTATCTATCTATCTATCTATCTATCTATCTATCTATCTATCTATCTATCTATCTATCTATCTATCTATCTATCTATCTATACATTTTGTATTGTAGATATTTTTATATTAATATAAAATCTAGAATGTGATTATAAAAACAAAATGATATATATATATATATACAGTATATATACACATACATATACATGTGTGTGTATAAACAATCTACATTTATATATATTTAAATGTATATTATTATTACATGTATTTCATTTATGTATGTAATAGTGTATAAATATTAATATAAAATATCTAAATTTGTAATCATAAAAATATCATTTAAATAATATAATATAATATAATAACTAACATGCAGGGTGACCAGCCACATTTTTATTTTTAATATACTCTATATACTATTAAAATGTGGCAGGTGAAATGGCTGGAGGGCAAAACATTTTAATATCCACCCTGTATCTAATTCATTTAAAAATATAAGTTGTAGAATTTAAAGACTTTTTAGCAACCTTCAGCCAGATCAACTTCAGACTTTAAAGGCGAGTTCATACAAACAGACATGGAAACTATTCTCCCAGTTAAATTGTCCAAATTAGAGGTTTAGAGGGTGGTCTCAGGCCCTGCCGGCTCCTTCCTGAACTGCTTCCACCAAACGGCGTTCATAAACCACACGAATGACACGCCAGACCTCAAACATCCCACTCGAAGCTTTTCAGTGGTAACTAGAGCAGATACGCAGATAACTACTACAACCATCAGGCTAATGAGCACAGTTAGCTCAAAGCCATCCCTGTGACCCCGGCAAAACTGTTCCTGGCGTTTCCTCCCTTTCATGTTTGTTCCTCTGGCCGTACGCCACTTGCTGAGGAGGACCGTGTGTATATAAGCTTTCAGGACAGCTAATCATAGCAGGGGAGATGCTCATGTGTGCGGTTTGGTGGCACCACAGGAGGAAACCGAGACTCAGCACATTGCATTGGGGCCTACGAGACACTAATGGAAGACGGAAATGGGTTTTGCATTGGCTGATGCTGATATGGGAAATATAATGCTGACATTTACAGCAGAACAATTTAATTATCATTAATTATTTAATTGCTTAATTAAGGCCAATTCACACAGCACAGACAAACGCCAACAAACTCATTTGTTGGGTTGTGTCATAAGTGTGTTACCCCTGTCGGCATCGGTCCCGACTGAACATGTCCAATAAGCGTTTGCTGGTGTCTGTTGGGGCAGTGTGAACATACCAGTTATTTTTTGCCTTTAAACTGAATTAATTGGTAGATTTTGAAATAGACACACAAGGGGGAAACATTTCTGCAGCATGTAGCACGATAGTATTAATGGCTAATAGTTTTAATGGATAGTATTAATTACCCGAGTTATCTGTCTGCCACTACAAGAAACTAGTATACAGGCCTACAGATCACCAAATAAGCTTTTACACCACCTTTCGAAAAAATTTGGATCAATAAAAAAATTTGTTTAAAGATATTAAACATTTTCCTCAGCAAGGATGCAATAAATTGATCAAAAGTGACAGCAAAGACATTTACATTGTTACAAAAATCCCTTTTATCTCAAATGAATGCTGTTTTTTGAATCAACAAATCCTGAAAAAAAAAAAAAATGTATTATGGTTTCCCACAAAAATAGTAAGCAGCACAACTGCTTTCAACATTGATGATAATAAGAAATGTTCCTTGAGCAGCAAATAAGCATATTAGAATGATTTCTGAAGAATCATGTGACACTAAAAACTGGAGTAATGATGCTGATAATTCATGGTATGTTTACAAGACAGTGATGTACTAAAAACTGTCCTAAAAATCCCTGTTCACACGCATCTGCAAAAATGACTAAAAAGGCTGTATTATGCATGCCAGGCCAGTAGCTGGCAATATCACTTTGTCAAGTAACACCCCGCGAACACGCAATACGCATGCGTGAACATGCAATACGCATGTGCATGATGTCCCCATTTTCACAGATGCATGTTTTTGTTGTCGGTAAAGCCATCGTATTCAAAACCTGGCACTTTGAAACCTGTTTTCAAAAGCTTGAGTTTGCAGGTCCCCAAAACGCCGTTTTTAGTTGAAAACGGTGTCGTGTACACATACCCTCAGCTTTGCCATTACAATGTGTTTTAAAATAATATATTCAAATAGAAAACCGAGTTATAATATTTCAACCGAGTTATAATATTTCAAAATATTACTGTATTTGTATACATGTATATATTTGAGATCAAATAGACACAGCCTTGGTGAGCATAAGAGATTTCTTTCAAAAACATAAAAAAATTCTTAATGGCCCCAGACTTTTAAACGGTAGTGTATATTGAATCATTTGACTCAGTCGATTGAAATAAGATGGAATATATAACAACAAGATGTCTTCGCTGTCTTAGAAATCCAATACTTTGTTCATCTGGAATAAAAAGTCTGTGTTTATTAGCATTAATGCAGTACTGTGAGAGATGGAGAGATACTCACTGTTCGGTGGTAATATATGTTCAGCTACAGGATGGTGAAAGTTGAGACCCATGCGACCTACAAAGAGATGAGAAGAACACAAACCATGAGAGTTATGACACCATTGAGACACCTAACATACTACAAACCAGTTTATTATTTAACTTATTATTTATTTATTTTGTATTTTTATGTTACTTTTTATGTTTTGTACCTGTTTGTGGTTGGACCATGTGTGTCCTTAATAAAGCATTGATTGATATTACCTTTTTTTAAACATGACATTGTGGCATATCCCTTCTAAAAGGTGAAGCATCAATGCATTTTAGCATAAAAATCTTTAAAGCAACAAAACCTAACTAGTGCTATAATCTAGTGTACTTGCGTTGTATTATGAATTGTGTAACACATCTCAAAATGCTGATGTAGAGCTGATTATAACCCAAGCCTACTAACAAAACACTGCATTTGCATTTTCAGAATAAAAACATCTATTTATGAATCATATTAGACGAGGACATCCCCACATGTCCCCAAAGGAATCTTGTAACATTAGCGAACATCTAGGGACAAATGCATCACCCAAGTATAGCTAAGCAAACTCACACATGGACTCTCTTGTAACTACATAAAGCGTTCATTTGCATGGCTGTAAAACAGCTGTTGATTTATTTTCAGTATCAGAGCTCTAATGTGCCAGCATGAGCAGTTTTGGTTACAAATGACAGCAAAGCCCCTGTGGGATTCCCAGGGAACACTGCGGGCAAGCCTCGACGGGCTCTTCTACGCAAATTCTGAACCGTCACAAGTCACATTTGCAAACTTCTTCCCTACAGCAGACAGAGAATGCCAGAGACGCTCTGCCCTTCAGTGGTTCAACCAACGCCAAATAATGGCGAGCGATGAGAAATGTGCGATGTGGTGCGGTTTCAACAGGTATTTGGCCCGGTGAGATTGTAAGACGAACAGGGCAAATGTTTCCCAACTTGCAAGTGTCGTTCGGGCTAGTGTGCTGTGCTATATATAGGGTCTCTGGTGAGAACCAGCAGCTGTGCTGAGAGCACATCTTTCACATATGGACTATTTTCTCAATGATTCAAATCAAAGCAGCTCAACCATCTGGACATGCGGCAAAGGTTGCCAAAGCACATCATGATACTAATAAAAAGGTGTAAAGTTGATTTTGAAATAAACACACACACCGTGATTACATTATAAAGCATCAACACCTTTGAAGAGACCCATGATTCATTTCATCAACAGGGCAATGCACTTTAAATAAAGCCTACGCATCAAATACATAGTCATTGAATTAAATGTCACTGCTGAGTCATTTTGAACAAACAATACTCGCATACAATAAACAAACAACTGTTATCAGTCAGTGACTTTTGGCAGATGCTTTTTTCCAAAGTGACTTAAGGGGCTGTCACATTTCACAAGCAAAAAAGGTTTGTCTATTGTCAATGGTTTAGCAATGTATGAAGAACAGATACACAGATGTCACTTTCAAACCAAGAAGCTTTCTGTTGAGCAACGTGATGGATTCGCATGACCAACTTAAGCCAGCTGAGAAATGTGCATGGGGAAATTAAGTGAAAAAAGTGAAATCCATCAACACAATGACTGGATTTTGCCAGTGAAAATTCACAGAGCAGTGGTATATGTGACAGCACCTTTACATTGCATTCAATATATTTTGTATGTTTTTTATGTATTGCTTGCTACAAGAAGTTGAATTTATCGGGACACCAAAAATGGATCTTAAGATTATATACATAGAAATCATCTTGAATTTAAGTTGCATGTTTTTCTCATCCATTTAGGCATAAAACTCACTAAATGTAATCTTGTATCTAATGCTATTTTGTTTTTCTGGTAAATGTATGTAGTTTTGGAGATATTTTGATAGCTTTACTGAAACAAAAGACATGGTATACTAAAGGAAATGGACAATTACTTCCTTTACAACATACATTTGGTTTAAACATTGGACACTGGAAGAATTTGCATGAACAAATTTGAGGTCAGGCAGATAATGGGACACACACCGTGTCTACACCGGACGTGACCGTTGTTGTGTTGTGATGCGCCACATTGCGATCATTGCAAATCCATTTGTTCTTCTTGTCAGAAGGAGCCCAAGCAATTCAAGTACATCAGAAACAGAACGGTGCATCAGTTTAGTGTCGGGAATTTAATGGGATACTTCACCTCTGGAAAGATGAATGTGTATTTAAAATGGGTCATTTATGTAGAAGAAATGTGAAATTATTTTTGAATTTGGAGCTTTCTAGACTGAGAAAAGCCAGAAAATGTATTTTTGGCTTATGTGGATGAAAGACAACAACTCCCAGAATGCACTTGCTTCGCTGCCCTAGGAGGCCACGCCTACCGGTAACGGAGCGCAGTAGTTAAACAAGTCTAGGCTACTAGTGAGTCTCTGTGATGAGTCTCCCCGAAAATGTGTTTCGAGATCGCCCAAAATGTCCGGGATTCGGCTTTTGCGTTCTACAGTCGGCATTCATCATGTTTACTGTGGCGAGCAGGACGAGTGAGGGCCGCGGGAGAACGGCGCGAGGCCGGTGGCGTGATTACCGATGAGCGACAGCTGTGAGACGCACCGGTCTCATATCTCTCACGGAGGACCGGGAATTTTCTTAAAACGCACATCAACAATCACTTGTTTAGCGTTCATGTAAACACTACATTCAGATTCACCAATCGGAATGAATTCAGTTAGATTGAAACAAAAGGTGTGCATGTAAACAATGAATTGCGACTGCAGAAAGCAAAAGCTGAATCCCAGACATCGACGGCCGGACATGTCCGGGAAAAAGAGGATGGTAACCCCTACTCAGCCTTCTCCACAGAACAAGAGCCTGCTAGCTTAGCTTCCAAAAAAAGATGGCTGACACTATGTGTACATTCTGTGAGTGAGAGCCCACCCTCTATGGGCGGGTTGAGAGCATGCGGGACAGCCCCTACTACTGGCTGTAGTCTTTAGCCTCGGGCCAAAAAATCCTCCGATGACGCAAAATGACGATTTTTGCGTCATCGGAGGATTTTTTCCAGACAAAAAATACATAAATCTCTCGTCTCAGGGGGATATGAGGGTGGAAAGCATGGTAATTCGAAAATACTACAGGTTTTCTACTAATACAAAGCTTAATGCTAAATCCTGAAGTATCCCTTTAAGGTGAAGCTGCATCCAGTGTAGATTATAATGGGATCTATTTGCTTTTGACGTGTCGCGCCACTCGTGTCTGGTATAGACACGGTGTAAAAAGTAAAAAGTAAGGTTTTAATCAAAGTACTCACTGTTTCTAAACTTACTATAGTAAAATAATTTTGCACTTTCTGATGAATATTACAGCAATGCAAGAGTCGGTAGTGAATAAGTCTCTAACTGACTGCAGCTGTAGTTCTGACCCAACGGTGACATAATGGACAGACTGACTCTGAGTATCTCAGCTGGTTTGAACATTACCCTTCTGTAAAATCTGACTAAAACCAGCTAAAGATGGTAGCTGGAACATGGTCCAAGCTGGTTTATGGGGTTGACCAGATGGACTACCAGCTGGCAGGGAGAAGGATGAGATGGTAATGGGCCCAACTGGAAAACCAGGTCACACAAACTTAAAGTGGTCAAGCTGGTTTTAAGAACATTGTAGCTGTTTACTGCAGGTTCAGGATGGGCTAAAATTCCAGTCAGGTAATGCGGGTCCAGCTAGTCAACCACCTAACAGTGTTTAAACCAGCTAATGACCAGACTATTGAAACCAGCTAACATGGTCCCATCTACCACCTAAAACTGGTTTTAGCTGGATATATTAGTATTGCTATTCACATTCCCATCTACTGTTAATGGAAACCTAAAGCTCACATGTAAGATTAACATCAGTATTCTTTACTGATGAGTGAAGAGACACCTCAGAAATAGAGCCAAACACATTCCCCTGACATTTCCTCACAGGGGTCTATGGTTATGCAAATCATGCATTTCCCTTTCCTCTCCTGCTGTTTGATCAGGCCTGAACTCTGGAAGCAAATGTCAGCGTCTTTCCTTCTGCATGAAACAGGGCAACTTTCTAGTCTTGTTATGACAGATACACATAAGCCAACTTTTCCCCTGACACATCAGCTTAAAATAAAGGTTATAATACAACATCTGAGGACCTTCAACATCAGGCACAGTTAGAATTAGAGCAAAGCTTGTCACAAAGCCTGTGGAATTCATGTTAAAAGCACCCATCACACACTTAAACATTATAAGAACATTTTTTGATCTGACAATAATTTTACAATGCTTGGCTAAATGATGCAGTGCATCAATAAATCTGAAATTTGGTTTCATAACTTTTTGAGAATTGCATTTTCAATTACGAACTATAATGGACAATATTATATTAATACCCGGCAATTTCTCATGTAAATGTGTTGGTAACACTTTACAATAAGGTTTAATTTGTTAACATTAGTTAACTACATATTAGCCAACATGGACTAACAATGAACAATTCTTCTACAGCATTTATTAATCGTAGTTGATGTTCATTTCACCATTTATTAATAATTTTTTTAAAATCAAAATGTGTTATTAGTTAATGCACTATGAACTAGCAATGAACAACTATTTTTATTAACTAACATTAACAAAAATAAATACATGTTGCCAGAAACTGTTAGTTCATGTTAGTTAATACATTAATGTTAACAAATGAGACCTTATTTTAGTGTTACCAATATGTTTTTTTTTTACACAGGTATGTAAACATGCAAACAAACTTATTGTCAGAACAAAGAATAATGATGGATTGAATGGATCAAAACACACTTGCTGACAATAGTCCTGGTATGATAGCATGTAGATATTATAATTGGTTTAGCATGTGGTTTACCAACAGAACTGGCTTAGACCTTATAATATGACCCTAAAGAGCTCGATGTTTGTCCAACATGCCTTTAGAAGCCATCAGTAAAAGCTTTTACTGTGGAAAAACAGACTGAGACTGTAATGTCCTTGAAATTGAGCAACTACATTCACACACCTTGAGCTTCACACGGACAGCCTAACA